GTTGGCTTCCATGGAGAGCTTTCCTTCTGGCCTGTACAGACTGCCATCTGCTCACTGTGTCTTCACATGGTGGTGGGGGAGAGGGGAATTGAAGGGAGGAGAGGCAGGGGGGAGGAACAGACAGCAAGCTCTCTGGTGTCTTTTTTTTTATAAGGTCACAAGGGACTTACCCTCTGACCTCATAGAAATCTATTATCTCCAAATACCATCACATTGGGGGTTAGGGCTTTAACATGGATTGGGGAGGGGGCCACAATTCAGACCATAGCACCGCAGCTCAGATAGCCTGGGTAGCAGAACACACCTAGTTCCCCAGGAGGTTGAAAGAAGGCAGAGGAGAAGAATTAAAGAAGATTCTTTGAATTGGTGTAATATACCAAAGGAATGCAAATTTCGGCAAGAGATTTTTCTGCTGGGGGTCCTGATTATCACTTCATTTCAATAAGTTCAAGATGTGGCTATATAACACTTTAAAATCTTTGAAGATATAAACAAATGAACAGAACTTTTGTAAAAAACATTATGAAGAAGATTCAGGATTCTTCAGAGAACTTTGAAGCAATTTTAGAAAACTGATCCAGGCTAAAACTTCATTCATTCTCTCTGAAACAGAACTTTTGTGACCGTGTCCAAATAACACTATGAAAGAAAGGTCAAAACGTTGGGGCTGGGAGCTGGTTGCACTGGAGAAAGATGAGTGTGAAATGGAAAAAGGCAAGGCCAAGAAAGAATCAACTATCTACAAGGCACTCTTTTTAATTCTAGACTTAAGGTTAATGGGTTTCGAATTCATTAAAATAGCTGGATGTGCAGTAGCTTGATTTCAATATACACAATGAGGTCATTGTTTTGAACACGACAAGATGAGGAGGCTCCGTGATGTGAAGGGTCTTTCCAATGCTAAATTCTACAAGTCAAAGCAGAATGCTTTGGGTCCCTCGGCCTGGCCTGCGCCCTCTCGCACTCTAGGACCCCTTGAGGGATGTCAGAGTGCCGGTTTCCGCCAGATCCCCACAGGCTAGGCTGAGGGACCCCACTGGTGCACGATCGTGAGATCGGGCCAGGGAAGGACCTCGGGCCAGGGAAGAACTGCAGGAGGGCTCTAGGGCATGTCCGGCCCATTTAGCCCAGTCCGGATCGGCAGGACCCCAATAGCTAGCTAACCTACCAGTCAGAGCGTCTGCCCCCTGGTGGTCAGTGCATGTCATAGCAACTGGTCGAACAGTCAAACGAATGGTCTGACACTTAGCATATTAGGCTTTTATTATATAGGATTTTCCTTTTCCGTCTCTGAATTTGCTGTGCATGTGGGATTCCCATACATATGTATGCATTAAAGTTGGTTATTTTCTCTTGCTAATCTGCCTCATGCCTATTTGATTATTAGACCAAAGAACCTTGGAGATAAAGGAAACTTTGTTCCTCCCACAGTCCACACAACCCTGGGACTGAGGAGTTCAGAACCCAAGATTAATACAGTAAGATATAACAAAATATACACGCACAATAAAAAAGAATAAAAACGAGAATGTGGGGGTAATAGGCTAACTGCAATTTACAGCAAGGACAACCTTTAAATTCGGTAAGCCCTTAAATTCTCTGCCTCTTCTACAAGAATGCAGCAGCAGTTTCTGGAGTGCTGCCTCTAGATGAGGATGTTCTTACATGACTAAGGGGAAAGATGCCCAGCAGTGCCAGCGTCAAGAGCCCAGAAAGGAGAAATGAAATGATTAAGCCGGCGTCATTAATTCAAATGAACTCAGAGAGGCCACCTGGGGCTGTATTTTGGGGGAAGAGGAATAAGCAAGGGCTTCAGAGAGAAAATGGTAAGAAACAAAACAAACAACTAGTACTAGAGAGTGTTGTAGGGAAGGAACTAGGTATCCAGTAAGTAAGCAGAAGGGAGAGAGAGAGGGCTCTGGCTGAGGAAAAGGGTACTAGATTTATTTGAGTTCCTCAAAAAAGGAATGAGAATTTAGATCATTTCAGGAAATTAAAGGAAGAGACAAGAGGAAAACAAACCACTGAGAAAGCAACAGGAAATAGAAAACCAGTAATACTGGTTGGCATTGAAAAAGATCTTTACAATTGAAAAAGTTCTTGTCAGTTTATTCAGTCACCAGCACAGTGCCTGGCATATAACAGATACTAAATATTTGTGCAGTGAAAGAATGTTACTGGGTTCTATGGGTTCAGAGTTAGTCGTCGTGTGGTCCCCCCCCACCAAAGATGTGCCTCTGTGTTATGTGGATTGTTTTGAGCTAAGGGCAATTTTACCTGTAGGCCAGGAGAAACTTCTACCCCTCTCTTGCCTACCTGGAAAAACTTCAATTAGGGGTCTTGCCCATAATGGGAGATCATCACAGATAACAGGAACTCCTGCTATGCTTCTTTGAAGCCTCCAAGTGACAGTACCTCATCCCTAACTCAGAATGCCTCTTTTTTTTTTTTTAATCCTCACTGGAAGATATGCTTTTCATTGATTCTAGAGACAGAAGAAGGGAGAGGGAGAGAGAGAAATATTGATGTGATTGAGAAACACCAATTAGTTGCCTCCCATTCGCACCCCAACTGAGGATTGAACCCGCAACCTGGATATGTGCCCTGACTGGGAATTGAACCCTGGACCCTTCAGTGCACGCTCTAACCTCCGAGTCACACAGGTCACACATTTTCCTTTTCCGTCTCTGAATTTACTGTGCACGTGGAGTTCCCATACATATGTATGCATTAAAGTTGGTTATTTTCTCTTGCTAATCTGCCTCATGTCTATTTGATTATTAAACCAAAGAACCTTGGAGATAAAGGAAACTTTGTTCCTCCCACAGTCCACATAACCCTGGGACTGAGGAGTGCAGAACCCAAGATTAATACAGTAAGATGTAACAAAATATACACACGCAATAAAAAAGAAGAAAAACGAGAATGTGGGCCCTAACCGGTTTGGCTCAGTGGATAGAGCGTCGGCCTGTGGACTCAAGGGTCCCAGGTTCGATTCCGGTAAAGGGCATATACCTTGGTTGCGGGCACATCCCCAGTAGGGAGTGTGCAGGAGGCAGCTGATCGATGTTTCTCTCTCACCGATGTTTCTAACTCTCTATCCCTCTCCCTTCCTCTCTGTAAAAAATCAATAAAAATATATTTTTTTAAAAAACTAGAATGTGGAAGTGATAGGCTAGCTACAATGTAGAGCAAGGACAACCTTTAAATTTGGTAAGCCCTTAAAATTATATGAAAAAGTCTGCTTACATTTTTCTATTGAGAGGGTTCAGAGCTTTTTATTTTGTTTCTTTTGGTGAATCCTCCTCACCCAAGGTTATTTTTCCCACTGATTTTAGAGAGACTGGAAGGGAGGGAGGGAGAGGGGGAGAATGGAGGAGGGAGGAACAAGAAAGAGAAAGAGAGAGAGAGAGAGGGAGAGAGGGAGAGAGAGAAAAACATCAATGTGAAAGAGACACATGGATTGGTTGCCTCCCCCACACACCCAGACAGGGGCCAGGATCCAACCTGCAACCCAGGTACCTGCCCTTGACAGGGAATGAACCCAAGACCCTTCAATGGGTGGGCAGATGCTCTAACCACTGAACACACCGGCCAGGGCTCAGAGCTTTTATAAGAATTTCATCTTGCTTATTTACTGAACATTATACTATAAAATAAAATGTTAAAAAAAAGAATTTCAATGTGAGTTTATGAGCAATTGATGTATTATTAGGTTAGTTATTAATTTGTGTTGAGAAAGGATTAGTGAGAATGTGATATATAAGATACATTCCTACAATTAGCTTAAGAAGTTCAAATGACAATGAGTGCAAAACCACTCAGACAGTTTTACATCTAGGTTACGGTTTTATGTGCATTTATATACTACTTCAATTGTTACCTTTTGGACATATCAGATTGCAAAACCCCTGAAAGGTTCAGTCTAACACTTACTTTGTTGTTTTGCTTATATTGTACTCCCCCCACAAACAATGTTTAGATTCATTACCTCTTCATGTTCCTAATGTTGCCTAGCAAATTATGAATACACCAAAGGCACGTATCCACTTTAGGTTTTGCTTTTGGTTTCTTAATAAATGTTAAAGACACTTTCATATTGAATATATTCACTAATAGTAATCCTTTAAAGTGGAGAATATGCAAAATACACTCTTTCAAAGAAGCTGCACATTCTAATGGTAAGAACTAGACAGGCATACATCCTACAAATTCTGTGTAAATAAAGCTCCTAAAAGTTTCCAACCTGAAACTCCCTAAGTGAAACCGACAAGGAACAAAAACTGAACCACGGAACACAGGCTCCTGACCACCCACAGAAGCTCGTTGTTTGATAGTGAATTTTAAAACATGACCACTTTCCTGTTAATTATGAAAACAAACTTGTGAGCACACATTTGTCCCTTTCAAGTGGGCAGAGAACTAGAAACCACTTTCGTATGTTCTTTTTAAAGTTATTTTAAATTATTACCAAAACCTCCCAGAATGGAATCAAAGGAACCCTAGGGCGAGGAAGGAACTACAGCGGAAGGAAAAACAAAACAAAACAAAACAAAACACCGATCAGAGCAATGAAACTCAAGCGCAGTCCTGGAACCACGGCTGACCCTCCTGGGACCGTGTACATCTTTTTTCCCTTCTTCCCGAGGAGGAAGGAGGCTAAGCAGCAGCGGTAAGAAAGACTAGACGGTAAATCTCAGAGGTCGATTAAAAACGCCCAGAAACCTATAGAGAGGCACCAAGGTCAAGGTGGCACCAGGGGCTTTCTTGGGGTTGGCACTTCCAGGGCTTCCTAGGAAGGGAGTGGGGGGTGGGAGGGTGGAGGGGGAAGGTGAAGCGGTGGCTGGAAGGACGGGGAGTACCGGGAAGGGGAGGGAACCACGGGGGAGAAGCGGAGCAGGCCGCGGAGAGGTCGGGCCGGGTCGGGGGGAGGGGAGGGGAGGGGGAAGGAGCCGGCCCAGCCCGCCCCGGGAGGCCCGCCCGCCGCCCACCCCCCTTACCAGCCGGAGCAGGACCCCCCAGAGCAGGGCGGCCGCGGCGCAGAGCGGCGGACGCGGCGGCCCCATCGGCGTGCTGGGCGCCCGGCGGCGCGGCGGGCGCTGCTCGGCGGGGCAGGCTCGGGGTCCCGCGGCGCTGCCTCCGAAGCCGAGCCGGACCGGGCGGGTGGCGGGGCTTGGCCCGGGCCGCCGCTGTTGCTGGGGCGGCCGCTGCAGCGCCGACTTCCTTTTCCGGCCACGCCCGGAGGACGCGGAAACCCCCGCGCGGAGCACGTGGAGCCCGAGTCCGCGCGCGCCGCCGGCCGCGCTCTCCCTGCCGCCGGCGGGGCTGGGCGTGTCTCCTGCCAGACGCCCGACCTGAACTCTCCCCGGCGTCCGGGAACCAAGGGACTTTCGCCCGGCGCTGCTCTGTGCCCCCGTCACTGTCCAGGTGCCCTGAGCCAAACCTGTGGCTCCACCAGCAGGTCCGGGCCTCCACCAGCCACAGGTTCCAAGTCCGTGCACTTTCTCCAGAACCGCTGCGCCCACCCTCTGCAGGACACTACCTCTCTCCTCCAAACTGGGCTCTGTTTCCATTCCCGACAGCCCATCATCTAAATAGCTGCCCCTTTAAAAAGAGGTCTCTTTAATAAAAGTGTAAGTCAGCTCATGTCACTCCGCATCACACTTGGGGCGAAATCGAAGCCCTAGACAAAGTTTACATAATACAGTCCCTGCCTTCCTTGATCCCATATTCACTCCTCGCCCACGTTTGCCACCGGGATGCCCTTGGTTCTCTCAGAATACCTGGTGCACTTGCCAACTGGTGTCACTTCCCTAGAGGGAACTTCCTGACATACTAAGCTAAGGCAGCCACCCACTCACTTTCATGTCTGATTTAATTCTCTACATAGTAGTTTCACTCATATTCTCTTGCTTATGTATTTGTTCATTTATTATGTCACCTCCCAATGGATAGCAAGAAGTGTCTTTGTAAAAAAAAAAAAGTGTCTTTGCATTCTTCACTGCTATATCTCTTACACCTACACATTGGGCATAAAGTAGGTCCTCAAATATTTGTTGGATGAATATTCAATACCAAACACTGAATAGGATGCTCTCCCTGCTATCGCACAGCTCAGTTTAGTGAGGGACACAGATCATGACTTCTGTTTTTTATTTGCATGAGATGCTTTGGGAGTATCAAAGGAACCTGGAAAAGGGGTGTCAGGAAAAATTCCAACTTAAGCCAAGCCTAGATGGGTGGGTTAATTTTAGCCAGTCAATGGGCAGGGGAAGGGGGAGACTTTCAGAAAGTGTCAAAGCCAAAGGTGACAGTGGAAGAACTGCAAAACTTGAGCTTGGCTGAAGTTATGAGTGGTGAACGATGAAGTGAGAGAAGAAGGTAGAGACCAAATCTGAAAAAGATTGGATGGTTTGCTTGGGACTTTAGACTTCACCCACTTGATGGTGGAGAGTAAATGAATAGTAAGTAGAGCATGACAGACCATTTCGGGTTTTCCAAAGCTCTCGGGGTGGCAGGTGAAGTGGCAGATGTTCTGAAAAGGCAAAGTCGAAGGAAGCCCGGAGACCTGTTATACAACTGTAGTAACCTAACCCCGGCCAGGCATTGTGAGGGCCTGCCCTGAGACAGTGGCAGAAGAAATGGGGAGGAAGAGATGGATCTGAAAGATTTGTAGCAGAATTTTGTAACTGAGAGGACTTGGAGATGGAGGAGAGGAGGGATGAGTCCCTGGATCCTGCCCTAGGCCTTTTATTGAGATGATCACCACAGGAGATGGGGGTGGTAGTGGAATGTGTGAGGGAGGGGAAATACTTTTGGATGTGAGTTTGAAATGCTTGTGGGACCTGGCCAGAACTCAGTTCTCCTGTCAAACCCTAGTCTCTTTTCACTTCATGTTCCCCTTTTGTAAAATGGCTGGATGACTTCATTTCTAAATACTCACTTCTAACCATGGTGGCCCTTATCCTAGTGAAGCTCCAAGTTGGCTCCGAGGCTGTCTGAGATCTGTACTTGCTGCTCTTATGCACATTTTTCCTTCCTGTGTTATACACCAGTTCCTTGTGCATTTTCTTACCTGCTTTAGTTTTCTCAGCTGAAAAGGTGGCTAGCAATACCTGTTCTGCCTGTCTCACATGATTATCATAAAAAGTACATAATCTATAGTTTGGGTAAAATTACTCTGAAAAAAATTTTTTTAATTTTAAAGGAGGAGGAGGAGAGAAAGAGGAAAAGGAGGAGAAGAAAAATAGAAGGCTGTGTTATTGCTGTAGTCCAAAGTATAAGCACTGTTTGCCATAATTCTTCTGCCAGAATGGTTTCTCTTTGGTCAAAGTCCAAGGATGAAGTGAAGGAAAATAAGAGGGTTAATGGAAGATTAAAAAATTCTTGATTAATGACTACTAATGGACTGGCTGTTAAAGTTTATTTGGAGTATACCTCTGTTATGCATGAATTTCCCTGCAAATATTAGTAGGATAAAGAGTACCTGGATAATTTAAGTCAACGTATATGGTAGGAAGAGGTCAGCAAATATTGGCTCCATTTTACAAAAGAAGAAACTGCTAGGTTGGCAGTAGAAGGAGGAGCTAAAACCCAATCCCCTGCCCCAGCACACTAGATCATTCATACGGCACGGCACGGTGTTTTTTACTCAGGGGACACTGATGAAATGTTGGTCATGAGCCCCAAAGACCTTCTTGGACACTCCAGAGAATTACTTTAGTATAGAGTAGCAATTTTTAATCTTGACTGTTTATGAGAATCACATAGAAGAGCTTTAAAGGATAAGGATGCCTGGATCCTCCTTTACCCATACAGATCCTAAATTTAATTGGTCTGTTTGTAGCTTGTGTATTATAGTTTTAAAAGCCCCTCAGGTAATTCTAATATGCAACCAAGGTTAAGAAACTTTGGCTTACTCAGTGATACTTTATAAATTATTATTTTTTATTTTCCAATTACCTGTAATTACTTTCAGGTATATAACAGTGATTAGACATTTATATAATTTATGAACTGATAACTCTGGTAAGTCTAGTACCCATGTGACACCATACATAGTTATTACAATATTATTGACTATATTCCTTATGCTGTACTTTACATCCTCATGGCTGTTTTATAACTGGCAATTTGTACATTTTAATCGCTTCCCCTTTTTCATCCATTCCCTCCCACCCCCTTCCCATCTGGCAACCACCAATTTGTTCTCTGAGCCTATGTGTTCGTTTCTGTTTTGTTTGTTCATTTATTTTGTTTTTTAGATTCCACATTAAGTGAAATCACATGGTAGTTGTCTTTCTAGTCTGTGATCCTAGAGCAGTGATGGCGAACCTATGACATGCGTGTCAGAGGTGACACGCGAACTCATTTTTTTGGCTGATTTTTCTTTGTTAAATGGCATTTAAGTATATAAAATAAATATCAAAAATATGTCTTTGTTTTACTATGGTTGAAAATATCAAAAAATTTCTATATGTGACACGGCACCAGAGTTAAGTTAGGGTTTTTCAAAATGCTGACACGCCGAGCTCAAAAGGTTCGCCATCACTGTCCTAGAGTGTGGTTTCTGGACCAAGCAGTATCAATATCACCTGGGAACTCTGAGAAATGCAAATTCCTCCAGACTTACTAAATTAGAAACTCTGGGAACAGGGCCTAGTAATCTGGGTTTTAATAAGCTCTCTAAGAAATTCTGATGCATGTTAAAGTTTGAGAATTATTGGTTTAGAGCAGCGGTTCTCAACCTGTGGGTCGCGACCCCTTTGGGGGTCCAACGACCCTTTCACAGGGGTCGCCTAAGACCATCGGAAAACACATATATGATTACATATTGTTTTGTGATAATCACTGTGCTTTAATTATGTTCAATTTGTAACAATGGAATTGGGGGTCATCACAACATGAGGAACTGTATTAAAGGGTTGTGGCATTAGGAAGGTTGAGAACCACTGGTTTAGAGCAACATTGCTTAACTGTGGTTGCATATTAGAATCATCTGCGAAGTTAAAATAAAAAACAAACCTTATGCTGCAATACTAGTCAAACTGAAAGGACAAATAGACAAATCCATAATTATAGTTAAAGGTTTCAGCACTTCTCTCTCAATAATTGAAAAAACAAGTAGTTAAAAAATTAGTAAGGATACAGAAGACTTGATCACACCATCATCCAACTTCACCTAACTGGCATTCTCAGGACACTCCACCCAACAACTGTGTAATATGCATTATCTTCACATGTATGCAGGAGTTTTGCCAAAATAAACCATTTGGCCATAAAACAAGTCTCATTAAATTTTAAGGTTTCAAATTATACAAAGTATGTTCTTTGACTACAGCAGAATTAAATTAGAAACCAATAACTGAAAGATATCTCAAAGATCCTCAAATAATTAGAAACTAAACATATTTCTAAAACCCATGGACCAAAGGAGTCACAGGGAATTAAGAATATATTTTGAATTGAATGAAAATGTGACAAATCAAATGTTGTGGGATGCAGCTAAGGCTTTTTTTTTTAAGTGCTTACAAAGATATTTGTAGCATTTATAATAGAAAGGTATAAACATTTACAATTAATGACCTAAGCTTCTACCTCAAGAAACCAGAAAAAAGCTAATTAAATCCAAAAGTCAGCAGAAGAAAGGAAACAAAAATATCAGAGCAGAAATCAACAAAATAGAAAACAAAAAAAAAAGCAATAGAGAAAATTTGTGAAGCCAAAAGCCTGGCTTTTTGAGAAGATTGATAGATTTTGGAAACTCTAGACAAATTGATTAAAGGAAAAAGAGAGAAAATACAAATTACCAATGTCAGGAACAAGAGAGGGAATATTACTAAAGGTCCTCAAGACATTGAAATAACAGCAAGTGCCCAGCCAGTGTGGCTCAGTGGTTGAGCATCAACCTATGAACCAGTAGATCATGGTTCGATTCCTGGTCAGGGCACATGCCTGGGTTGTGGGCTTGATGCAGCCAATTAGTGATTCTCTCTCATCATTGATATGTATATTGCGCTCTCTCCCTTTCCTTGCTCTCTGAAATCAATCAAAATATATTTAAAAAAATAAAATAAAATAACAGCAATATTTTATGCCCAAAACTCATCACCAAGAAATTCTGATTTATGTGGTCTGGTGTAGGCCCAGACATCAGTATATTTTGAAAGTTCCCTTGGTGATGCTACTGTGCAGCCAGGGTAGAAATGACTAGTGTAGATAAATCAACTCCTTATTACTACTAAATGCAAAGAATTTCTAGGAGTTTCCAGTCAAGGATGCTGTGGGCCAGTTCTTATTCCATCTTTCTTC